CTACCCAAAGACATGGAAATAGAGGGACTTACCCTGGGAGGCGGTCAGTTCTCATTCCTCAACCCGAAGTCGAGACAACTGGCTACAACCACCAACCCAAGGCAATGCAGGCCCGACTAGGCCCAGGAATGTTCACGAGGTAGCGTGCAGCCAGAACCCTGTTCGACTGCCTCAAACGCCGGGCTCTACTGTCAACCCAAGACAAGTTGCCAAAGACAGCGACCAAGGCAGCAAACTTAGGAACGTTTTGGGCACGGGGATAGACAACAAGCTGGTTAGACTTAATAACCTTGCGAACAACCTGAGAGACCTGAGCCCGGGAACGTGGATGGAGGGAAACCGGGTCCACCCAAACTGCATCCCTGGCCAGTGAAGCCGTGGCGCGCAAATAACGGCGGAGAGCTGCAACTGGACACAACAAACGATGCACCACTGGCCTGATCAACCAAGCATCAACAACTCAAGGACCCCTCTGGAAAGCAGCCATCTTCTTCTTCGCCAAAAAAGGAGACAGCTGCAACCGAACAGGTCTGAACAAGCACCCACAGGTCTAAACAAGCACCCACAGGTCTGAAGAAGACCTGTGGGTGCTATTTCAGACCTGTGGGTGCTTGTTCAGACATTGTGGGTGCTTGTTCAGACATTGTGGGTGCTTGTTCAGACCTGTGGGTGCTTGTTCAGACCTGTGGGTGCTTGATTAGACCTGTGGGTGCTTGTTCAGACCAGTAGGTGCTTGAACAGCACCCACTGGTCTGAACAAGCACCCACAGGTCTAAACAAGCACCCACTGGTCTGAACAAGCACCCACAGGTCTAAACAAGCACCCACAGGTCTGAACAAGCACCCACAGGTCTGAACAAGCACCCATTGGTCTGAACAAGCACCCACTGGTCTATACAAGCACCCACAGGTCTAAACAAGCACTGGTCCACCCAGGTCTGAACAAGCACCCACAGGTCTAAACAAGCACCCATAGGTCTAAACAAGCACCCACAGGTCTAAACAAGCACCCACAGGTCTAAACAAGCACCCACAGGTCTAAACAAGCACCCACAGGTCTGAACAAGCACGCACAGGTCTGAACAAGCACCCACAGATCTAAACAAGCACCCACAGGTCTGAACAAGCACCCACAGGGCTAAACAAGCACCCACAGGTCTAAACAAGCACCCACAGGTCAAAACAAGCACCCACTGATCTAAACAAGCACCCACTGGTCTAAACAAGCACCCACAGGTCTAAACAAGCACCCACTGGTCTGACCAAGCACCCACAGGACTGACCAAGCACCCACAGGTCTAAACAAGCACCAACAGGTCTAAACAAGCACCAACAGGTCTGAACAAGCACCCACAGGTCTAAACAAGCACCCACTGATCTAAACAAGCACCCACTGATCTAAACAAGCACCCACTGATCTAAACAAGCACCCACTGATCTAAACAAGCACCCACTGGACTAAACAAGCACCCACAGGTCTGAACAAACACCCACAGGTCTGAATAAGCACCCACTGGTCTGAACAAGCACCCACAGGTCTGAACAAGCACCCACTGGTCTGAACAAGCACCCACTGGTCTGAACAAGCACCCACTGGTCTGAACAAGCACCCACAGGTCTAAATAAGGACCCACTGGTCTAAACAAGCACCCACTGGTCTAAACAAGCACCCACAGGTCTGAACAAGCATCCACACGTCTAAACAAGCACTCACAGGTTTAAACAAGCATCTACAGGTCTAAACAAGTACCCACAGGTCTGCACAAGCACCCACTGGTCTGAACAAGCACCCACAGGTCTGAACAAGCCCCCACAGGTCTAAACAAGTACCTACAGGTCTGAACAAGCACCCACTGGTCTGAACAAGCACCCACTGGTCTAAACAAGCACCCGCAGGTCTAAACAAGTACTCACAGGTCTAAACAAGTACCCACTGGTCTGAACAAGCACCCACAGGTCTAAACAAGCACCCACAGGTCTGAACAAGCACCCACTGGTCTGAACAAGCACCCACAGGTCTGAACAAGCACCCACTGGTCTGAACAAGCACCCACAGGTCTGAACAAGCACCCACAGGTCTGAACAAGCACCCACTGGTCTGAACAAGCACCCACAGGTCTGAACAAGCACCCACAGGTCTGAACAAGCACCCACTGGTCTGAACAAGCACCCACTGGTCTGAACAAGCACCCACTGGTCTGAACAAGCACCCACAGGTCTGAACAAGCACCCACTGGTCTGAACAAGCACCCACAGGTCTAAACAAGCACCCACAGGTCTGAACAAGCACCCACTGGTCTGAACAAGCACCCACTGGTCTGAACAAGCACCCACAGGTCTGAACAAGCACCCACTGGTCTGAACAAGCACCCACAGGTCTGAACAAGCACCCACTGGTCTGAACAAGCACCCACTGGTCTGAACAAGCACCCACAGGTCTGAACAAGCACCCACAGGTCTGAACAAGCACCCACTGGTCTGAACAAGCACCCACTGGTCTGAACAAGCACCCACTGGTCTGAACAAGCACCCACAGGTCTGAACAAGCACCCACAGGGCTAAACAAGCACCCACAGGTCTAAACAAGCACCCACAGGTCAAAACAAGCACCCACTGGTCTGAACAAGCACCCACTGGTCTGAACAAGCACCCACAGGTCTGAACAAGCACCCACAGGTCTGAACAAGCACCCACAGGTCTGAACAAGCACCCACAGGTCTAAACAAGCACCCACAGGTCTGAACAAGCACCCACAGGTCTGAACAAGCACCCACAGGTCTGAACAAGCACCCACTGGTCTGAACAAGCACCCACTGGTCTAAACAAGCACCCACTGGTCTAAACAAGCACCCACAGGTCTGAACAAGCACCCATTGGTCTCAACAAGCACCCACTGGTCTGAACAAGCACCCACAGGTCTGAACAAGCACCCACTGGTCTGAACAAGCACCCACTGGTCTGAACAAGCACCCACAGGTCTGAACAAGCACCCACTGGTCTAAACAAGCACCCACTGGTCTGAACAAGCACCCACCACTGGTCTGAACAAGCACCCACAGGTCTAAACAAGCACCCACAGGTCTAAACAAGCACCCACAGGTCTGCACAAGCACCCACTGGTCTGAACAAGCACCCACAGGTCTGAACAAGCACCCACAGGTCTCAACAAGCACCCACTGGTCTGAACAAGCACCCACTGGTCTGAACAAGCACCCACTGGTCTGAACAAGCACCCACAGGTCTGAACAAGCACCCACAGGTCTGAACAAGCACCCACTGGTCTGAACAAGCACCCACAGGTCTAAACAAGCACCCACTGGTCTGAACAAGCACCCACTGGTCTGAACAAGCACCCACTGGTCTGAACAAGCACCCACTGGTCTAAACAAGCACCCACTGGTCTAAACAAGCACCCACTGGTCTGAACAAGCACCCACTGGTCTGAACAAGCACCCACTGGTCTAAACAAGCACCCACTGGTCTGAACAAGCACCCACTGGTCTGAACAAGCACCCACTGGTCTGAACAAGCACCCACTGGTCTGAACAAGCACCCACTGGTCTGAACAAGCACCCACTGGTCAGAACAAGCACCCACTGGTCTGAACAAGCACCCACTGGTCTGAACAAGCACCCACTGGTCTGAACAAGCACCCACTGGTCTGAACAAGCACCCACTGGTCTGAACAAGCACCCACTGGTCTGAACAAGCACCCACTGGTCTGAACAAGCACCCACTGGTCTGAACAAGCACCCACTGGTCTGAACAAGCACCCACTGGTCTGAACAAGCACCCACTGGTCTGAACAAGCACCCACTGGTCTGAACAAGCACCCACTGGTCTGAACAAGCACCCACTGGTCTGAACAAGCACCCACTGGTCTGAACAAGCACCCACTGGTCTGAACAAGCACCCACAGGTCTGAACAAGCACCCACTGAACAAGCACCCACAGGTCTGAACAAGCACCCACTGGTCTGAACAAGCACCCACTGGTCTGAACAAGCACCCACTGGTCTGAACAAGCACCCACTGGTCTGAACAAGCACCCACTGGTCTGAACAAGCACCCACAGGTCTGAACAAGCACCCACAGGTCTGAACAAGCACCCACAGGTCTGAACAAGCACCCACAGGTCTGAACAAGCACCCACTGGTCTGAACAAGCACCCACAGGTCTGAACAAGCACCCACTGGTCTGAACAAGCACCCACAGGTCTGAACAAGCACCCACAGGTCTGAACAAGCACCCACTGGTCTGAACAAGCACCCACTGGTCTGAACAAGCACCCACAGGCCACAGGAAATCTCCAGAAAAATGTTATTTAGGTATGAGAGACCGTTGTTGCTGGGTGCCCTCTACAATTCTCCGGGTGCCTAACTTGTTTAGGCAGTTTCATCCGGAGGACCAGGTGCACGGGGGTCAGGTGAGATGGGCTTCAGTCCGTCATCTCGGGTCTCAGGTGATCTCGTCTTCCGGTAGCCGTCTCGTGGGGGCTAGACATCAGTGCTGAGGGACCTAGAGAAACAATTCTCTAACTGGAACAAATGCTGTTACTGGGACAATAGGCATAGTTTGTTGCCTTTGTGGGGATCTCGTCCAAGGCTGTCAGTCGTAGGCGAAACATTTTTCCTGCTAGCCTCCTCCATCTAATGAGAGGCGAGAGTGTGTAACGATGCCATTCCCCCTTAACTCTAACGAGCGGTGAACAACCAAGCAGCAGTTTTCGCAGAAATGCCACACCAAGTTAGGGATACTGAACCCATCCTCTCCTGGGTTCCCCCAGCATTAGAACCCACGTTCAGATAGGGTCCCAAGTCGAAAGAAATCTACAGCACCCCTGGTGAGGCGCAGGAGGAGAACCTGAACGCCACCACACGGAGTGACCCCCAACTAAGGTGTAAACACCGAGCGCCGGCGGTCCACACCCGACACAGCTCCCCTGGCACTTTACAGTGAAGTGCTCCTTAGACCTCACGGTGAAGTGCCCACAGGTTCCCCCCTTACACAGTGCTCCCAGGTCTCCCCCCTCTCCCCAGTGGCAGATGACAGTCAGAACACATACTCCAGCGACGTCGGGTTAAACTACCCAGTCCTATGTAGACATGCCACTCGCGGGGCTCCGAGATGCAGCACCCCTGGACCTGTCTGGCAAATGCAACTTCTCCAGGTAATAGCTCCGTCTCAGTAAAACCTTCGGACGGTGCCCCCGGCGCACCTAACCTACTCAGGTCCTCGGGACAGGTGTCAGGTAAGTGAGGGACGATCAGGGGGAGGGAGGCCCCACACTTGAAAACCTATCCACCGCTGCCCACCGGATGGGGGGGGGGGTAACCTACTGCCCACTGGATACCGCTGGGGGGGGGGGTGTAACCTATCCACCGCTGCTCACTGGATGGGGGGGGCGGTGTAACCTATCCACCGCTGCCCACTGGATGGGGGGGGGGGTGTAACCTATCCACCGCTGCCCACTGGATTGGGGGGGGGGGGGTGTAACCTATCCACCGCTGCTCACTGGATGGGGGGGGGGTGTAACCTATCCACCGCTGCCCACTGGATGGGGGGGGGGGTGTAACCTATCCACCGCTGCCCACTGGATGGGGGGGGGTGTAACCTATCCACCGCTGCTCACTGGATGGGGGGGGGGTGTAACCTATCCACCGCTGCCCACTGGATGGGGGGGGGTGTAACCTATCCACCGCTGCCCACTGGATGGGGGGGGGGGTGTAACCTATCCACCGCTGCCCACTGGATGGGGGGTGTAACCTATCCACCGCTGCCCACTGGATGGAGGGGGGGGGGGGGTGTAACCTATCCACCGCTGCTCACTGGATGGGGGGGGGGTGTAACCTATCCACCGCTGCTCACTGGATGGGGGGGGGGGGTGTAACCTATCCACCGCTGCTCACTGGATGGGGGGGGGCGGTGTAACCTATCCACCGCTGCCCACTGGATGGGGGGGGGGTGTAACCTATCCACCGCTGCCCACTGGATGGGGGAAGGGGGGTGTAACCTATCCACCGCTGCCCACTGGACGGGGGGGGGGGGGTGTAACCTATCCACCGCTGCCCACTGGATGGATGGGGGGGGGGGGGTGTAACCTATCCACCGCTGCTCACTGGATGGGGGGGGGTGTAACCTATCCACCGCTGCCCACTGGATGGGGGGGGGGGGTGTAACCTATCCACCGCTGCTCACTGGATGGGGGGGGGGCGGTGTAACCTATCCACCGCTGCCCACTGGATGGGGGGGGGGGTGTAACCTATCCACCGCTGCCCACTGGATGGTGGGGGGGCGGTGTAACCTATCCACCGCTGCCCACTGGATGGGGGGGGGGGGTGTAACCTATCCACCGCTGCCCACTGGATTGGATGGGGGGTGTAACCTATCCACCGCTGCCCACTGGATGGGGGGGGGTGTAACCTATCCACCGCTGCCCACTGGATGGGGGGGGGGGGGTGTAACCTATCCACCGCTGCCCACTGGATGGGGGGGGGGGGGTGTAACCTATCCACCGCTGCCCACTGGACGGGGAGGGGGGTGTAACCTATCCACCGCTGCCCACTGGATGGGGAGGGGGGTGTAACCTATCCACCGCTGCCCACTGGATGGGGGGGGGGGGTGTAACCTATCCACCGCTGCCCACTGGATGGGGGGGGGGTGTAACCTATCCACTGGTGCCCACTGGATGGGGGGGGGTGTAACCTATCCACCGCTGCCCACTGGACGGGGGGCAAATATAGCCAATATATAACACTGAGGATTTATCTACAAAACTAACCCTTGGCTGAATGTTCCTTAGTTTAAAAACGCCCAAATTTCCCGTGAGATGAGGTGGGAGAGGCTTGCTGCAGCAGTGGTGGTATTTGGCCACACAACCACCAACCATTGCTCGTCAACTTGCAAGCTTGCTAGTTGCTTAATTAGCCTCGCAACCCTTCATTTACCTCTCTAAACATCACCAACCTATATTTATTGACTTGATTTGGGCAATGAATGCTCCCTGCAACGGATATTAAATAATAAACTTGACATATGGAGTAGTATTTTATACATTAACGCCATGTTGTCATCAGTCGTCTTGAATAATTAAGATATTGTAGTAAATAATACATTCTCATCATTTAATTCTAATTAGTCATTTTGGGGAGAATAACGTTATATATGCTATTCTCTGTTCTGTTCTCTGTTCTGTTCTCTATTCTGTTCTATATTCTGCTTTCTGTTCTATATTCTGCTTTCTGTTCTGTTCACTGTTCTGTTCTCTGTTCGGTTCTATGTTCTCTGTTCCATTATCTGTTCTGTTCGGTTACGTTCTCTGTTTTCTGCTCAGTTCTCTGTTCTGTTGTCCTTTCTATTCCCTGTCCTGTTCTCTGTTCGGTTCCTTCTGTTCTCCCTGTTCTCTGTTCTGCTCCGTTCTCTGTTCCCTGCTCAGTTCTATGTTCTCTGTTCTGTTCTCTTTTCTGGTCTCTGTTCTATTCTGTTTTCTGTTCTGTTTTCTGTTGTGTTCTCTGTTCTCTTCTTTGTTCAGTTCAATGTTCTCTGTTCTGTTCTCTTCTCTCTTATATTCTTGGTTTTCTGTTCTTTTCTCTGTTCTAGGTTCTCTGTTCTGTTCTAGGTTCTCTGTTGTGTTCAAGGTTCTCTGTTGTGTTCAAGGTTCTCTGTTCTGTTACGTTAGGAGAGGAGAATAACATGATATAATGAGGACTGAAGCACGAGTTGGCGTTATTGCGTAAGACACTAGACATAGTTGCCAAATGTTGCTAGTTTTCAATTATTATGGCTGCAACCCGAATTTAAATCTGGTATCGAATTTGGGATGTTTGGGATATTTTGAAAACTGCAGGGGGGGTTTGGACAAAATGTGACCCACCGCCGCTTTCAGTAATTGGCAGATTTTTGGTATAAAAAGTCGGAATTTCAAACTGCGAATAGTTGCAGAGAGCCAGAATTTGGGTCCAAAATATGGCTCAGGTATCGAATTTGAGATGTTTGGGATATTTTGAAAACTGCAGGGGGGTGCTTGTTTAGACCTGTGGGTGCTTGTTTAGACCTGTGAGTGCTTGTTCAGACCTGTGAGTGCTTGATCAGATGTGTGGGTGCTTGTTTAGACCTGTGGGTGCTTGGTCAGACCTGTGGGTGCTTGTTTAGACCTGTGGGTGCTTGTTTAGACCTGTGGGTGCTTGGTCAGACCTGTGGGTGCTTGTTCAGACCTGTGGGTGCTTGTTCAGACCTGTGGGTGCTTGTTCAGACCTGTGGGTGCTTGTTTAGACCTGTGGGTGCTTGGTCAGACCAGACCTGTGGGTGCTTGTTTAGACCTGTGGGAAGCTGGGTGCTTTCAGACCTGTGGGTGCTTGTTTAGACCTGTGGGTGCTTGTTTAGACCTGTGGGTGCTTGTTTAGACCTGTGGGTGCTTGTTTCAGACCTGTGGGTGCTTGTTTAGACCTGTGGGTGCTTGTTTAGACCTGTGGGTGCTTGTTTTGACCTGTGGGTGCTTGTTTAGACCTGTGGGTGCTTGTTCAGACCTGTGGGTGCTTGTTCAGACCTGTGGGTGCTTGTTTAGACCTGTGGGTGCTTCAGACCTGTGGGTGCTTGATTAGACCTGTGGGTGCTTGGTCAGACCTGTGGGTGCTTTGTCAGACCTGTGGGTGCTTGGTCAGACCTGTGGGTGCTTGTTTAGACCTGTGGGTGCTTGTGGGTGCTTGGTCAGACCTGTGGGTGCTTGGTCAGACCTGTGGGTGCTCGGTCAGACCTGTGGGTGCTTGGTCAGACCTGTGGGTGCTTGGTCAGACCTGTGGGTGCTTGATTAGACTTGTGGGTGCTTGGTCAGACCTGTGGGTGCTTGGTCAGACCTGTGGGTGCTTGTTTAGACCTGTGGGTGCTTCTTCAGACCTGTGGGTGCTTGGTCAGACCTGTGGGTGCTTGGTCAGACCTGTGGGTGCTTGGTCAGACCTGTGGGTGCTTGGTCAGACCTGTGGGTGCTTGGTCAGACCTGTGGGTGCTTTGTCAGACCTGTGGGTGCTTGGTCAGACCTGTGGGTGCTTGTTTAGACCTTTGGATGCTTAGGAAGACTTGTGGGTGCTTGGTCAGACCTGTGGGTGCTTGGTCAGACCTGTGGGTGCTTGGTCAGACCTGTGGGTGCTTGGCCAGACCTGTGGGTGCTTGGTCAGACCTGTGGGTGCTTGGTCAGACCTGTGGGTGCTTGTTCAGACCTGTGGGTGCATTGTCAGACCTGTGGGTGCTTGTTCAGACCTGTGGGTGCTTGTTCAGACCTGTGGGTGCTTGTTTAGACCTGTGGGTGCTTGGGCAGACCTGTGGGTGCTTGAGCAGACCTGTGGGTGCTTGTTTAGACCTTTGGGTGCTTGTTTAGACCTGTGGGTGCATTGTCAGATCTGTGGGTGCTTGTTTAGACCTTTGGGTGCTTGTTCAGACCTGTGGGTGCTTGTTTAGACCTTTGGGTGCTTGTTCAGACCTGTGGGTGCATTGTCAGACCTGTGGGTGCTTGTTCAGACCTGTGGGTGCTTGTTCAGACCTGTGGGTGCTTGTTTAGACCTGTGGGTGCTTGGGCAGACCTGTGGGTGCTTGGGCAGACCTGTGGGTGTTTGTTTAGACCTGTGGGTGCTTGGTCAGACCTGTGGGTGCTTGTTCAGACCTGTGGATGCTTGTTTAGACCTGTGGGTGCTCGTTTAGACCTGTGGGTGCTCGTTTAGACTTGTGGGTGCTTGTTTAGACCTGTGGATGCTTGATTAGACCTGTAGGTGCTTGATTAGAACTGTGGGTGCTTGATTAGACTTGTGGCTGCTTGATTAGAACTGTGGGTGCTTGATTAAACCTGTGGGTGCTTGGTCAGATCTGCGGGTGCTTGGTCAGACCTGTGGGTGCTTGATCAGATGTGTGGGTGCTTGTTTAGATCTGTGGGTGCTTGTTTAGACCTGTGGGTGCTTGTTCTGACCTGTGGGTGCTTGTTCTGACCTGTGGGTGCTTGTTCAGACCTGTGGGTGTTAGGTTAGACCAGTGGGTGCTTGTTTAGACCTGTGGGTGCTTGGTAAGACCTGTGGGTGCTTGGGCAGACCTGTGGGTGCTTGGGCAGACCTGTGGGTGCTTGGTAAGACCTTTGGGTGCTTGGGCAGACCTGTGGGTACTTGGACAGACCTGTGGATGCTTGTTTAGACCTGTGGGGTGCTTGTTCAGACCTGTGGGTGCTTGTTCAGACCTGTGGGTGCTTGTTCAGACCTGTGGGTGTTAGGTTAGACCAGTGGGTGTTTGTTTAGACCTGTGGGTGCATGTTCAGACTTGTGGGTACTTGTTCAGACCTGTGGGTGCTTGTTCAGACCTGTGGGTGCTTGTTTAGACCTGTGGGTGCATTGTCAGACCTGTGGGTGCTTGTTCAGACCTGTGGGTGCTTGTTCACACCTGTGGGTGCTTGTTCACACCTGTGGGTGCTCGCTCAGACCTGTGGGTGCTCGCTCAAACCTGTGGGTGCTTGTTCACACCTGTGGGTGCTCGCTCAGACCTGTGGGTGCTTGTTCACACCTGTGGGTGCTTGTTCATACCTGTGGGTGCTTGTTCACACCTGTGGGTGCTTGTTCACACCTGTGGGTGCTCGCTCACACCTGTGGGTGCTCGCTCACACCTGTGGGTGCTCGCTCACACCTGTGGGTGCTCGCTCACACCTGTGGGTGCTCGCTCTTACCTGTGGGTGCTCGCTCACACCAGTGGGTGCTCGCTCCCACCTGTGGGTGCTCGCTCACACCTGTGGGTGCTCGCTCACACCTGTGGGTGCTCGGTCAGACCTGTGGGTGGTCGCTCACACCTGTAGGTGCTCGTTCACACCTGTGGGTGCTCGCTAAGTCCTGTGGGTGCTCGCTCAGACCTGTGGGTGCTCGCTCAGACCTGTGGGTGCTCGCTCACACCTGTGGGTGCTCGCTCACACCTGTGGGTGCTCGCTCACACCTGTGGGTGCTCGCTCACACCTGTTGGTGCTCGCTCAGACCTGTGGGTGCCCGCTCAGACCTGTGGGTGCCCGCTCAGACCTGTGGGTGCTCGCTCAGAACTGTGGGTGCTTATTCACACCTGTGGGTGCTCGCTCAGAACAGTGGGTTCTCGCTCACACCTGTGGGTGCTCGCTCACACCTGTCGGTGCTCACTCACAGCTGTGGGTGCTCGCTCACACCTGTGGGTGCTCGCTCACACCTGTGGGTGCTCGCTCACACCTGTGGGTGCTCGCTCACACCTGTGGGTGCTCGCTCACACCTGTGGGTGCTTGTTCAGACCTCTGGGTGCTTGTTCAGACCTGTGGGTGCTCGCTCACACCTGTGGGTGCTCGTTCAGACTGGTGGGTGCTCGCTCACACCTGTGGGTGCTCGCTCACACCTGTGGGTGCTCGCTCACACTTGTGGGTGCTTGTTCAGACCTGTGGGTGCTCGTTCAGACCTGTGGGTGCTCGCTCAGACCTGTGGGTGCTCGCTCAGACCTGTGGGTGCTCGCTCAGACCTGTGGGTGCTCGCTCAGACCTGTGGGTGCTTGTTCACACCTGTGGGTGCTTGTTCACACCTGTGGGTGCTCGTTCACACCTGTGGGTGCTCGCTCACACCTGTGAGTGCTCGCTCACACCTGTGGGTGCTCGCTCACACCTGTGGGTGCTCGCTCAGACCAGTGGGTGCTTGGTCAGACCTGTGGGTGGTCGCTCACACCTGTGGGTGCTTGGTCAGACCCGTGGGTGCTCGCTCACACCTGTGGGTGCTCGCTCACACCTGTGGGTGCTCGCTCACACCTGTGGGTGCTCGCTCACACCTGTGGGTGCTTGTTCAGACCTGTGGGTGCTCGCTCACACCTGTGGGTGCTTGTTCAGACCTGTGGGTGCTCGCTCACACCTGTGGGTGCTCGCTCACACCTGTGGGTGCTCGCTCACACCTGTGGGTGCTCGCTCACACCTGTGGGTGCTCGCTCACACCTGTGGGTGCCCGCACAGACCTGTGGGTGCCCGCTCAGACCTGTGGGTGCCCGCTCACACCTGTGGGTGCTCGCTCACAGCTGTGGGTGCTCGCTCACACCTGTGGGTGCTCGCTTACACCTGTGGGTGCTCGCTCACACCTGTGGGTGCTCGCTATAGGCTTTGATTAAACAATTCTAGCAAAGGGCTATTTGGCAGCTCAGCAAGTACTCTCATGGTGTTGTATGTGATGCCATCCTCTCCAGGAGAGGTAGCCTTACCTTTCTTGAGTGCATTTTTAATTTCAAAGGGGGTTATGTCATAGTTATCATCAGGCCCTATTTCACTTAATTCACTTAATTTCAATATTGAAGTTACGATTTATTTTGTGATCTTTGTGAATTGTGTTTTGTGATGTGATATTTTGTGATTCGATTTGTGATCATTGCTGTCTTCTTATATGTGCTATCAATATGGTGTATATTACCTATTAATCTTTGGTAAAATATAAATAAATAAATAAATGTTTATTTAGGTAAGGTACATACATACAAGAGATTTTACAAAGATTGATGGAATTATAGATAGAGCTAGTACATACAATGCCTAAAGCCACTATTACGCAAAGCGTTTCGGGCATGAAAAACATTAATGACTAAAACTTAATACTAATTGAGTATAAAGAATAAAATGTGTTGAGAACAAATAAAAATAGAGATAAAAAAGGGGGAACATGGCTGAAAAAGCAGCACAAATACAATTAGGTCGACAAACAGCGTTGTTTAAAAAAAACAGACATGGGTTGACAATAGAGGGGTAAGGTAGGTTACAGGGAATTTATTAGGTAGTGCTTCGTTTTTGTATTAAACTGGTTGAGAGAGGTACAGTCTTTAACATGGTTGGGAAAGTCATTCCACAATCTGGGTCCCTTGATTTGTAGAGCATTTCTAGTTTGATTAAGTCGTACTCTAGGAATATCAAAACTGTATTTATTTCTGGTGTGATGCTCATGGGTTCTGTTACAACCTTCAATGAAGCTTTTGAGGTCAGGATTGGCATTACAGTTCAGCGTTTTATATATGTATAATACACATGAGAGAATGTGCAGTGACTTAATATCTAACATATTTAGAGATTTGAGTAGGGGTACTGAGTGATGTCTGGGCCAGAGTGGGAAATTGTCCTAATAGCAACTTTGTGTTGAGTAATTAGAGGACGTAAATGATTTTGGGTAGTAGAACCCCAAGCACAAATACCATAGTTGAGATATGGATAGATAAGGGAGTAATAGAGAGTCACCAGGGCAGGGCGTGGTACATAATATCTGATCTTAGAAAGAATGCCAACAGTTTTCTAAACTATTTTTATATATTTAGAATGTGTCCCTGGAAATTCAGCTTGTAGTCAATGAGAACGCCAAGGAATTTGCCATCTATTTTGTTACAAATTTGGGTATTGTTTATTTTGAGATTTATTTGATTAGAGGATTTATTGCCAAACAGAATATAGAAAGTTTTGTCAATGTTAAGGGTGAGTTTGTTGGCAGTTATAGGATAGCCAAAGATGGACATTATTTAGCTCAGTATTTACTGTGGCATTTAGAGCAAGGAGGTCAGGACTGGAGTAAATGAAGGTTGTGTCGTCAGCAAATAGGTTTGAGGTGTTGGGAGGCATTTGGAAGGTCATTAATGTAGATGAGAAAGAGGAGAGGGCCAAGTATGCTGCCCTGAGGAACACCAATGTTGATGGGTAGGGTGGGAGAAATTGAATTATTCACAGAAACATACTGGAGCCTGTCAGTAAGGTAAGATTTGAGGTATTGCAGGGTGTGTCCTCTGACTCCATAATGATGTAATTTACGAAGAAGGTTTTGGTGGTTGACAGTGTCAAAAGCCTTACGTAGGTTCACAAATAACCCAACAGGGAACTCATTTTTATCAAGAGCTGCATGAATCAAGTTAATCATACTAATAAGTGCATCGTTAGTGCTTTTTTGGGGTCTGAAGCCATATTGACAAGAGCTAAGTATATTGTGTTTGGCTAGATAAGAGTAAAGCTGCTTGTAGATTAGTTTTTCAAATATTTTTGACAAGTTAAGCAGGATTGATATGGGTCTGTAGTTGTTAACATCTGTGAGATCACCACATTTGTGGACAGGGGTTACTCTCGCTTTTTTTTTAGAATATCTGGAAAGGTTTGGAGTTCAAGTGACTTATTGAAGAACAATGTAATAGCAGGGGCTAAAGATCTGGAGGCTTTTTTGTAAATTAAAGTTGGTATCCCCTCAAGGACACTAGACTTGGTTTTAAGGGAAAGGATTATCTCATTGACGTCAGTGGAATTAGTAGGCTTTAGGTTCAGAAACTGTGGATAGTTACCTGTAAGATAGTCCCTAACATCAGTACTGATGTAAGTAATTTAATTACCAATAAAACTGTCATTGCAATGAATCAGAGCTACTGTTGTGTTCGTATATATCTACTAATCTCTCTCATCTCATTGTTTTTTCTTGCAATTTACCTGTTGTCACTTAAATTTTGCTAGAATTGACCTACTTAAAATTATCTGTTAGATTAGGGACATGCCCGAAACGCTGTGCGTATAGTGGCTTTACAAGAATGTTAACCCCATGCTATGTATCCTCACAAACCCAATGTATATATATTAACATATTCTTGTATATAAATAAATAAATAAATAAAAATAAATATATAAATGTTATTATTTATATTTTAATAAACTTTGCTGGAGGATTAGTAATACGTAATTAGTATTGCTGGAGGATTAGTAATACTATATTTATATATTATTTTTAGATTCAAATCTGCAAAATCTAGATCTTTCTTGAGTTATTTATTTATTAATTTTTAAATTCCTGTTTGTAAGAGTGAAAATTGTGTTGGCAACCCTGGCAGCATGAGGTGTCGAGGACAGTGTGTCGCCGGCAGCGACCGCGGGAGGACGGGTGCTGCTCCTGGTCTGACCTGCTCTGCTCCCCCTCGAGCTATGGTGAAGAAGTTCTTCAAGAGGTGTGAGTGGGAGCTGCTGGCCCCCATAGAGCAGACTCGTGCACACAACGTCTATAAGAACTACAAGACGATGCTCAAGTTAGGTAAGGCACAAGAGCTTCCTTTGATAAAATATCTTAGTAGAAATAATTAGACGTACATTTAGAGCTGGATTTCTTGAAGAAAATGCGGGCACCATGTTCAGTATTATAGCTAGATTCCTGCCAAGTGTAAATGCGGAGTAAAGTGAGCTATGGAGAGCTGTATATGCAAATTTAAAGTAAATGCTTTCTTTGGGGATGTAATTACGAAAAACTTACAATGAAGCTTGGTCAGAGCTTCCTGTTGGAACCCAAGAGCCACAGCTCGATCCCCGCAAGCACAACTAGGTGAGTATCAGTATGCGACGCAACACCAAATTTTCGGTAAAATTCAACCTAATTCTATAAAAATTCAATAATTTTTCAATTATTCATTCAATAATACAAAATTCAATAATAAAAAAATAAAAAATTCTATAAACCCATCAAATCCATATCAAGGTGAGATACTCATTATTATTTTTATTTTTTATTTTTATTTTTTATTTTTATTTTTTATTTTTATTTTTTTTATTTTTATTTTTTTTTTTTATTATTTTTATTATTATTATTTTTATTTATTTTTATTATTTTTTTATTATTATTATTTTTATTATTATTATTTTTATTATTATTATTTTTATTATTATTATTTTTATTATTATTTTTATTATTATTATTTTATTTTTATTTTATTTTTATTTTATTTTTATTTTATTTTTATTTTTTTTATTTTTTTTTTACTGAAATGCATTACATAAGGTTTGGATGCCCTTTTATCCAAATAAAATGTCATCTTTTTGTAGAGAATTCATGCAGAATGTTTTCACTTTACACTGATATTTCTTTCCCCCCTAATATCAAGATTTTTCAGTGTCATCGATGGGTAAATTTCCTGGAGATATTCATACAAGAGTTCTCTTTGTTGGGGCTCAATAAACAACATCTATAATGTTTGCATATATTTTATACTAGCTAAAATGGAGGGGAATGTGAGGTGGGTTTTTCTACCTCTCGTGCCATGTTAGTTTACTATTGAGGTCATCTTAAGATGATTTCGGGCCTTAGTGTCCCTGCGGCCCAGTCCTCGACCAGGCCTCCTTTTTATTACACCCTCCCAGGAAGCAGCCCGCCTGTAGCAGCTGTCTAACTCCCAGGTGGCTTTAGGCATTGTATGTACTAGCTCTATCTATAAAGCCAACAAACTTTGTAAAATCTCTATGTATGTACCTTACCTAAATAAAAATTATTATTATTATTATTATTATAGGTACCTATTTACTGCTAGATGAACAGCGGCATCAGGATGAATGAAACTCTGCCCATTTGTTTCTGCCTCCGCTGGGGATTGAACCCAGACCCTTAGGACTACGAACTCTGAGCGCTGTCCACTCAGTTGTCATGCCCCTTATGACCTTGTTTTTGGAGTTCCAGCTCCCAGGAATTCTTCCACATCAATTTTATCGATTGCCGTTACTATTTTGTACATAGTGATCATATCCCTTAATTTTCTTCTATCTACTAGTTTTGGTATATTTAATGCCTTCAAACCTCTTCTTGTAGCTGTTCTTCAGTTCTGGGAGCCATTTAGTTGCATGTCTTTGCATCTTTTCCAGTTTGTTGATGTGCTTAAGATGTGGGCACCATACAACTGCTGCATATGTCTAATCTCTAATGCTTATGTACTTATGTGGAGCCCGTCGGCCGAGCTGTGGAGCCGGTCGGCCGAGCTGTGGAGCCGGTCGGCCGAGCTGTGGAGCCGGTCGGCCAAGCGGACAGCACGCTGGACTTGTGATCCTGTGGTCCTGGGTTCGATCCCAGGCGCCGGCGAGAAACAATAGGCAGAGTTTCTTTCACCCTATACCTCTGTTACCTAGCAGTAAAATAGGTACCTGGGTGTTAGTCAGCTGTCACGGGCTGCTTCCTGGGGGTGGAGGCCTGGTCGAGGACCGGGCCGCGGGGACACTAAAAGCCCCGAAATCATCTCAAGATAACCTCAAGATGATGTACTGTGCTTTGGTCTAACAATAGTCGTAAACAATGTCTTTAGTATTTTGCCATCCATGTACTATTTGAAAGCAAATCTGAAGTTAGAAAGTGTAGCATATGCTCCTTGCACCATGTTCTTTGTGGTCCTCAGGTGATAGATCTAGGGGTGGTTCTTGATAAAAAAAATTATCGGAATTCTTTAAAGATTTCTCACATACAGTTTGTGTGGGGTCTGTTCTCCTGTTCCACATTCCATAACATGGTATTTATTCACATTAAATTCCATTTGTTCCATACACTAATTTCATCCAAGTTGTCATGTTTTTTTTTCCCCTCCCATGTGCGTGTGTTTATTCGTTGAAGGTGGTATTCATGTTGTCTTCGTCGTTAGTGTGACCCAGGGAGCACCATGAGGAGCTAATGTTATGACATACAACCCACTAGTGCTTACTAAAATGTTCTGATTTTGGTTTACATGGTGAATATCTTAGGCCATGCAATTGACAATGTAGCAAAATAATTTAATATTAATTTACAGTACTGTATTTTAAAATGATTGTTGTTTACCACAAATATATTGGAAATGTTTTGACAATTTGAATTACTGTAATTGTTTTCCAAGTTTTTAGTTAGAATAAATTAAGATTAAATTAGTTTAATTAGTGGCCAATGATGTTTTAATATTAAACTATATAATTGTATTTCAAGAGTTAAGTTCATTTATTATGCACCCCATACCCATCTTGTGGGTGGTAGTGGAAAGGGTTACAGAGGCACATAATGGGCTCAGGGACTGAACCCCACAATTCATTTAGCTAAGCAAGTTACAAAAATCAGTAAAAGTTGTCACATCATAAATGGGTTCGAGATCGACTACAAGTACAGTTTCTAAATTAAGCAACTGACATATGTGGAGAGCTAGTGTCACAATTGATATGTTTGTCTTGCACACTGCCCCCCCCCCCATCCAGTGGGCAGCGGTGGATAGGTTAGTCACTTAGTTACTACCTACAGTTTGCAAACTGGGGATATTTGGTATTTAAAGACAAAACGCATCTTAAATGTTCTTGAAAGTAGTTTGTGATTATAGTTTTCCAATGTTAAAAATAAATCATGACAATTTGAAGTGGCAGCCTATCACATTGTTCTCTAACCATAAGATTAGTAAAAGCTGCACATTATGTAATGTATATTTTCCCAATAATTTATTGAACATAGTTTATTCATATGACAGGTATGGAAACTAAGCCACCTGACTTTGTCCAGAGATTCATAGTTCGACATCGGAGACGAAATCTCCGGCGTCAAAGAAGGTAGGTGATTGTTAATTAAGCGCATTGTTTCTCCCTATGTTTACTTATGTGTTTTTGTATGTAATTAAGGGTGTGATCATTCGGGAAGACTTGTAGCCGAAGATCTATTGATAAAAGGCAGCACAAAATGTGTAAGCTATGCTTGAGTGGTGTGTTCTGATGCTTGGCACCAGGAATGTTATGCTTTGATTATTTGCAGATCTATAGTGGATTTATATAAGAAATATCAGGCTTAAGAATTTATACTAGAAGAAAATGTATATGCTGTACTCGCAAATACACTATGCTTTTCTCTCTTCTTGAGAAAGCCAGATTGAGTAACTCCAGCCCACAGCGGCAAGAAATCCTACTTAACATTAACAATTGTAGATCAATATCTACAATTTTTGAGAAATGCAGCTTTACTCCTAACTCAACACTATTTCACACTGCCAGTTAATATTTGCATTTACCTGGGTAGGATTCTTGGCCCACTACATTCATATGCTCAACCACAAGCTTAAACCTCTTAAATGTCACAATCTATGGTGAACATAGCTAGAGTAATAATATCTGGTCTTTGTTAAGAAATTAACACTAAACACTAACACTAAACACTGACAAAGCATGCTACAAATCTGGAAACAAATTGCCAGCTTAAATTGAGAGCCAAGAGAGAGGAACTTCCTTGCCTTAGCACACAACTTGAGAGAGATCAGGCAGTCAGCATTGTAGAATAGGACACAATCTATTTGTCACTCAGAACCAACTATATATATAATGAGAAGTGGGCACAAATCCAGTGTGACAATATTCAGGATAATATTGCAAAAACAGACACAACTAGAGGTAGAAACCAAACAATATCCCGGCCCTGCCACAAAAAACAAGTTTAGAATCGGAGAAAATTAGTTGGAGCCGTAATTAAGATTCGATCCAATGTTCTGGATATTCCTAAACACATCTTGTACTACTACATCACGACATGGTCAAAAGAATTGCAACCTGGATTCAACTGAATCCTCTAGGGTTTCTGAGGCTTCCACTAGAGCCTAATCAGTTTCACACCATTCCCCCACATGCACTCTGCCTTTGTAGTCTAGGCAGTCTACTTCCAATGAATCTCTTCAAATGCTCTTCATCTGTAAGCTTGGGAGAGAATTCTAAGGGATTCAATTGTCTTATCTCGCAGTACACATTCATGTAAAAGTATCACACTTTAAAAAATGTCATGCCTAACAAACCTGCTTACATTTATAGAAAAAGTAACCAATCCCAGATAAAGGAGTTCTAATTGATAATGTACATGGACTTGCCAAAGTCTTTTGATAAATTATCACACCAAAGACACCAGAAGAACATAGAATTAATGGAAAAACACTGAACTGGAACTCAAAATGGTTAAAGCACAGAAAAAAGTACAGTAGCTCGAAGTTTAAAAAAAAAAAAAATTGTAAAGCACAGCATGATTCTATTTTAGGGGCAACCCTTTTTTATAATGGTTTCTCATTATTGGAGATGGGAAGCTTGTCAGGCTTAGCAAGGCCTCCCTAGGCCAATGAAGTGACCTACAAGTCAACTAACTCCCAGGTGTCTATTTACTGCTAGATGAACAAAGGCATCGGGGTGTAAAGAACCGCGCAAACCTTTTGCCCCTTTCCAGAAAGCTGCTGAAAATCAAAGCCATGAGCAATCAGATGTGAGCTTTATTGCACTAAACACAACAAAACTTTGGGACATAACCTTGGGTTATGTCGCCAGTGAGGTTTGGATATACAGGCATACCTCAGAATACGATTTTAATCCGTTCCTGGAGACGCCTCGCCTTCCGAAAACTCGCATTCCGAAGTTAATTTCCCCATAAGAAATAAAGGGAAATGAATTAATCCGTTCCTGACTACCCCAAAAACCCCACATCAAACTAAATTTTTATACCTAATTCATCTAAATAAACCTACAAAAGTATGTTCCAGTTATTACTTACCTTACTGTCGAGTGCTGTAGGCGTATGGAAGATGGTGAGGAGGGGGGAGGAGGAGAGGAGTTACTGTTTGGAAGGGGAGTCCCCTTCCATAATCACATCAGGCAGTGAGGACCTTTCTGGTGTGCTCTCCCTGGGACGTTTAACCTGAGTGCCACTAGGTCCTGGTTGAGGCTCACTGCTCGATTTCCTCACCACAAATTTGTCCATGGAAGCTTGCTTTTCCCTTCTTTGCAAGCTCTCTCTGTAGTAAGGCATCACAGTGTCATTGAAAAGATTAAGACAACGGCCTACTACAGTTTTGTCTGGGTGAGTGTGTTCAATAGTTGTTTGAATCTCTTCCCACATCTGACACACCTTCTTCATTACTGCAGAAGGGACATTCGCTGGTGCTGTTGCCACCACCTCCTCCTCCACTGCAGAATCATTCGCTGCTGTGTTGGCTTCCTGTTCCTGTTGAAGGGCTAGGAGTTCTTCGGTGGTCAGTTCTTCGTTGTGTTCTTCCACCAACTCCTCCACATCATCACCATCCAATTCCAAGCCCATTTTCTGGCCTAGACTAACAATTTCCTCAACAATAGGCGCATCATTTATAGGCTCAAACCCCTCAAAGTCTAGTTCTCTCACACCTTCAGGCCACAATTTTCTCCAGCCAGAGATCAGGGTTCTTTGAGTCACTTCTTGCCAGGCTTTGTCAACGAGTTTTAAAGCACTAAAAATGTTAAAATGCTCTCTCCAGAACTCTTTGAGGGTGAGGTTTGTGGCTTCAGTCACTTCAAAACATTTCCGGAAAAGTGCCCTTTCATACAGTTTCTTAAAATTCGCTATGATTTTCTGGTCCATAGGCTGAATTAGAGGAGTGGTGTTAGGAGGAAGGAATTTAACTGTGAGGAATTTATTGCATTGAGGCATCAAATCATCTTCCAAGCCTGGAGGATGAGCAGGAGCATTGTCAAGGAGAAGCACGGCTCTGAGTGGCAATTGTTTCTCCTGCAGATATTTTTCTATGGCAGGGCACAGCACTTCATTCACCCACTCCGAAAAAATAAGCCTAGTCACCCATGCTTTTTTATTAGACTTCCACATCACAGACAAACGGGTTTTCTGCACATTATACTGTTTGAAAACCCTTGGATTTTCAGAATGATACACTAGCAAGGGTTTAATTTTTAAATCGCCACTCGCATTTGAACACAGCACAAGCGTAAACCTATCTTTCATAGGCTTGTGTCCAGGCAAGGATTTTTCCTCCTTGGTAATGTATGTCCTCTTAGGCATTCTTTTCCAAAACAGTCCTGTTTCGTCACAATTAAACACTTGTTGCGGTAGGTATCCCTCAGCCTCTGCAAACTCTTTAAATTCGTCAATAAATCGTCCAGCGGCTGGTTTGTCTGAGCTGGCTGCCTCCCCATGCCTTGTAACACTATGGATACCACTTCTCTTTCTAAATTTTTCAAACCAGCCCCTGCTTGCCTTAAACTCTTTCTTTTCTGCATCACTCGTTGCAGGGGTCTTCTTTAGAAGGTCTTCGTGCAACACCCTGGCTTTCTCAGAAATAATGGCCTCCGAAACACTATCACCCCTCAACTCCTTGTCGTGTATCCAAATTAATAACAACTTTTCCACTTCTTCAAGTATTTGTGGTCTTTGTGTCGTTAATGTTCTTACTCCTTTTGCCACATTAGCACTCATAATCTTATCTTTCTTCTTAAGTATAGTGCATATTGTTGATGTCGCTTTGTTGTACTGCCTACAAAGATCAACAACACGTGTACCGTTCTCATGCTTTCGAATGATCTCTTGTTTCTGCTCTATTGTCATCCTCACATGAGCTTTCTGGCCTTTATCCTTACCACTGGCTTTCTTGGGACTCATGGTGAGATATATAATAACAAATTGTATAGACAAATCACCAAAAATCCAACAAAACACTGAAAATTCACGACAAGAATTGATGTGGGGGTAGTCACTGCGCGCGAGACAATGGTGAACTGAGGGGCAGCGGGGCAGAGGGGCGACGATCGCCGAACGACCACGCGCTAGGTCGGCTGTACGCGTATCAACAAACTCGCGTTCAAACTCGACTCCCGAAGTAACCATCGCCTTCCGAGACAAATTTTTGGAGTAAATACACCTCGCCTTCCGAAAATCTCGCATACAGGGACAATCGCATTCCGAGGTACCACTGTAGGTCTCTTCCTATATTGATTCCATTTTTAGTATTTTGGTCTTTGGCTCTCCCTCACAATTTTTGTTGAACCAGTCTTGATTTTTAGTTCTGCATCTCAGTTTGTTTAAATTTTGTACCTTCATCATATATTTCACAATTTGGCATACATTCCGTTTACTTTCTTGCCTAACCGCATCTTTCCCATCAAATTCATTAAAAGAGTTTCTAAGTTCCCCGTAGTGTAACTCCCTGCACCTATTTAAATGGGGGCCAGGTGTTGGCTTGTAGTTCCTGGTAGGTTTTTGAAAACTTGCGATGTCTTGGCATGGATTAATTTGGGTGGAGCTCTGCAAGTAGCTAGCACTAAGGAGCTTCCAGGGACCCACCAGAAAGAGGCATTTAATTACATCTCGGTTTTTCATTAACAAAAAATTATACTACAAGTATATTAACAAAAATTACTAAATTTTTATACAATGTTTTTAACCAGTAAGCCAGCTGTAAAGTGAAAATGTTTAATTTTGTACTAAATTCATATATAGAAATGGGCAATAAATACTCGTAATATTTAATTCAAAAGCATTAATTATTATTTACTAATGCATATAGTTTTACACATTTGTGTTGTAATTTACCCCTGTCAAACCTAATGTCAGCCAGGTAGGGGTTACCTAAGTTTACAAAATATTTCAAGGGGTTCCTCCAGATGAAGGAGGTTGAGAATTGTGGGTCTAAACTATAATTGACTCATATATTAGGCAGCGATATGCAAAAAGTTTTGAGCAGGGGGAAAAAAAAAATTCCCTATATAGTATACAGAAAATTTGAGTTTAGCAAAAACATTGTTTTAGCTACAGGCCTAAGCTAAATTATTCCATTAAAAGGATGCTTTATTATATTGACAGCCAGTTGAATGTTTCATGTGAATTTTATTAATGTTAAATTGTTAAAACAAGAATAATGTTGAAATTAATTTTTTCTTTTAACAGAAAGTTGAAGGGCAATAAGTCGGTTAAACAGAAAGCAAGAAAGACTCCAACTAAGGGAAACCGTGCCTCCAAGCGTATTATTGAGCAGAGCTCTAATTGTAAGTCTGCTGTATTTATTTTCCTTATGCCCTACTTTTCCCTTTATTATTATTATAATAATAATAATAATAATAATAATAAATCTGTGTATGAGGATAAGCAGCCAATATATATACTGTATATACATGTTAGGTTTATATCGTTCCCCCCAAGGTTGAACTACTGACTTTACCCAGGAGGCAACCCCACAAGAAGCTGACTCTGGTAATTATTTACTTGGTGAATTATAAAAAAAAAAAGCATTAGGTGATAAGAAACTCGTCTAACCATTTCTTTCCTGCCTGGGATTTGAACCCAGAATAATATATTGTAAGTTGAAAATCAACCAGACAGTGCTCCTCTCCACTTGACCACGGAACCCCCTCCCTCTTCACACCCACAAATCACCTCCCTTTGCCTATACTCCCTCAATTCTTTTCATACCACTCCTTCCTTTTCTCCATTGTCTCTTCACCCTTTTCTTCCCTTGATTTTATTTTGTCTACTGCAATAGGGGTTATCTTGAGATTATCTTGAGATGATTTCGGGGCTTTATTGTCCTCGCAGCCTGGTCCTCGACCAGGCCTCCACCTCCAGGAAGCAGCCCGTGACTGCTGACTAACACCCAGGTACCTATTTTACTGCTAGGTAACAGGGGCATAGGGTGAAAGAAACTCTGCCCATTGTTTCTCGCCGGCACCCGGGATTGAACCCGTGACCACAGGATCACAAGTCTAATGTGCTGTCTGCTCGGCTGACTGGCTCCCTCCCAGGGTGCTACTTACATTTCACAAAACCTTGTCCAAGCAGCTACAGCCCAGAGCTTTGATTTTACACTATTTCCTCTTTATGCTGCTTGATACCCATACCTTTGCCATGGTGTAAAGCATGGCCTTTGTCTTCGTGTAGATTGTATTTTTGTTTTTAGTGCATAATTATATTTTTGTGTAACCTTGTACACTGAGTTACTAGTTATTTTGGGTGCTAACCCAAAATAATTAGGGTACTTTGCTTTGCTTCTGGTTGTAGTTGATGGGCTAGAGTCTGTGTACCTATGGTTGCTAGGCACATACACTGGAAAATTTACCAGCATTTTGCTGCCTTGGCCCTAACAATCGCTTAAGCTTTTAGTTACGACAATTATTTTCATTAATTTAGCGTCTTTTTGGAAGGTACAAGTTAAAGGTAATTGTAATACAGAACTTTAGTTGCTGCACCTGGTACTGGTGCCAGGCAGAGTTTGTAGATGCTGAAAAGCATCAGAGCTATTTCTTTTATTTGCCATGTTGGATGAATAATGATTTCCACTTGGAAGCTATTGAAATAGGCAATTGGTGGGTATCTATCCTCTTAACCCCCATTCTAAAACGGCCACTTCTGAAGCCTTGTGTAAGTTTAAGGCTGATTTCAGCTCCTAGGCAGCACTCTGACAACCTGAGAGCATGTGTTGCTTATCTAATTAACTTGTCTGCAACCAGTGAGTTATAGTCATGTCTTCCCAGCTGGTTGCTCCAGTAGAGTAAGAACTATGGTTCTCCACTTTAGAGAATATGTGCAACCAGCAAGAGGGCTCAAATATGAGGATCGAGTACTGAAGATGCTGCAGAGCCTCATAGTATAAATTTCCCATCACTATAGACCAACTCCCTCATAAACTGCTGGGTGGATCCTTTGCAGAATTGTTTTCTACTAGATTCTCTAAATCTTGCAAGTGTGTGTTTTGCTTTGCTTTCTGGATGTTTCCTTGGTATGGATGATTGTAAAATTTCCCTGTGCCTCTGTGAGGGGGACAAATTCTCTGGTCTCCAGCAGGCAATGTGGACGTCTAGGGATGTGACTTGAGGAGCTACCTCAGTAAGGTAGGGAGCCACCGAGGCCCAACCCAAAAAAGGTGTTTTGTTAGATTCAGTGCTGGATTTTTACATTTGAATGACCATTTTCAGATTCAGATTCAGATGTTTATTCAGGTAAGGTATATACATACAAGTGATGTTACATTAATGGATTGATATATAGATAGAGCTAGTACATACAATGCCTAAAGCCACTATTACGCAATGCGTTTCGGGTTTCGGGCATTTTGATAATTAAGTTTTTCTTTCAAGTTTTTTCTACTCTTTACATATTATTGACTCCACAGATAGAGGATTAAGGTAAACTTTATTTATGGGAGGATTTGTATCCAAAAGATGCATTTCTATAATTGTATTTATATTTTTGCAGATCACAGTGCCTCATCAGCCAGCTCCAGTCACACTATGGAAGAGAAATCTTCACCTCAAATACTGGGTTAGTAAAGACATACTCAAATTTATTTAATGTGTGCATGTACACACCTGTGTGTGTACGTCTAGGTCCAATCACTAGTTAGCTTTCTCACCAACAGATGATAGCCCTGATGACTTGAAGGACCCAGTCATCCACCCTAGACATTAATCCACCGGAGTGTTTATACTCTGTCCTCCAGGTGTCTTGGTACTCTGCAGCACCAACGTTTCAGCTAAATAATTACCCAAGTGTAGTTACAGGATGAGAGCTACGCTCGTGGCGTCCCGTCTACCCAGCACTGTCATATAACGCTTTGAAGCTACTGACGGTTTTGGCCTCCACCACCTTCTCGCCTAACTTGTTCCAACCGTCTACCACTCTGTTTACAAAAGATAATTTTCTTTTCTCTGGCAGCTTTTTGTTAGTTTAAATCTATGACCTCTTGTTCTTGAAGTTCCAGCTCTCAGGAATTCTTCCCTATCAATTTTATAGATTCCTGTTACCATTTTGTACGTAGTGATCGTATCGCCTCTGTTTCTTCTATCTTCTAGTTTTTGCATATTTAATGCCTCTAACCTCTCCTCGTAGCTCTTGTCCTTCAGTTCTAGGAGCCACTTGGTGGCATGTCTTTGTACCTTTTCCAGTTTGTGCTTCTTAAGATATGGGCACCATACAACGCTGCATATTCCAGCTTTGGTCTAACAAAAGTCGTGAACAATTTTTTTAGTATTTCGCCATCCATGTATTTAAAAGCAATTCTGAAGTTAGAAAGTGTAGCATAGGCTTCTCGCACAATGTTCTTAATGTGATTCTCAGGTGTTTTCTATCTAGAACCACCCTTAGATCCCTTTCTTTGTCAGCATTCTTTAAAGATTTCTTACACAAAGAGAAATCTTTAGAGAATTCTGACAAAGAAAGGGATCTAGGGGTGGTTCTAGATAGAAAACTGTGTTGGCCAACCCTCGACAGCTCTCTTGTGCAGGAGCCTGTGGTTGTTTTTCTTTTTGTCATGTTCTGGGGTTTTCCCTGTGGCTTTCCCTCATGGGACTATTTCTGAGGTCATGCAAGCTCCTCAGATTCTCCTCTCTTTTTGTGAGTCTCCCAGCTGTGGTCTGAGTAGCCTTGCTTCAACCTTGTATTTTGAGGCCAGGGACCTTATCTTGGGGCTGGTTCTGGCTTTGTTTTATGTTCAGGTCCAGGGGTCTCGCTGTCTACCAGTAGTTTCTCTGCTTTTAACTTTTTTTGCATGCGTGCTGCTGTTCCCAAGCGCACTAGTGCCTCCCTTTTTGCCTCAGACCCCTCCCTTTTTTTGGGCCTGTGGAGGCTACTAGTCTTCTGCCATGGTTTGTTTGTCACATCAGGAATTGTGGGTTTACCTTAAGCTTGCTGTTGTGGGGTACATCTGGCTCTTGCAAGTTTTTTTGTTTGTCACCTGTGAGATGGGCCTGTATTTTGGCTCTGATTGCTGGGGTGTGGCTGTAATTACTAAAGTGTGGTTGCACTTCTATGCAGGGGCAGCTGTGGCAGTCTAAATTTTTTTGTTTAGCCCCTCTTAGTGTAGGGGCAGACTTGCATTGGGCTCACTTAGTCGTCGGCTGGCATTGCTCTAGTGTCTTCACGAGTCTGCCTGATCTTTGTTTTTGTTCTTTTCTTCCTTTCTGATTTCAGGGGTGGATTTTTTTGCAGGTGCTTAGGGCAGTTGCCTCTGCCTTCCTGCCATTGTACCTGGTGTGCTGTGGTGTGGTCTTTTTCTGTTTTTTTCTCTAGCACCGGCTGTTTGGAGCTTGCCGACTACTAGTTGAGGTGGCCATTCTGTGACACTTGGGCCTCAGGCAGTGGTGCTGTCCTCATTGTAGGCCTTCTCTAGTGATGTTACTTGCATTCCTCTTCTCAGTGGGCTGCCTCTTGAGGTTCTTCGTCAGTCTTTTGGGGGTTTTGGGGCTGGCAGACACGCTGTGGTGGTGCTCGAGTGATTGTATGTTGTCTAGCTTTTGCCTGTGTGGTTTTCTTTCTGGGCTTTGCTTTGGCTGTGTACACTTTTCCATTTCTCCAGGATCATCCTGTTTGCATTTAGTGGACCTTTTGGACCCTGCCCTGTAGGTTATTGTGTTTCTGCTGCCCTCTTCAGTATTTGAAGTTTGTTCTGCATCCTTGTCCTTCTGTGCTCACCCTGTTCTGGTCACCTCGGTTCTCGGGTAGGCGTTTGTGGCTGGTACTCCCTTGGGGTTATAATCAGTAGGATTTTCCTTCGGTGGGTGCTCATTTTGGTTGTGCAAGTTGGCAGTGGTTTTAGGGTGCTCTTGCTGTGCTTTTGTATTTCTTAGGGCTTTTTGGTCCAATTTTCCCCTTCACTCTGCCTGCACTCTAGTGGTTCTTCTTTTCCACAATGATAGTTGATTCTCTCTTTGATTTAGGGCTGGCCTTAGTTGTTGCTCAGCTTCTGTTTTTTTTTTGGTTACACATCATATATGCACTTGTAATTACTTGTGTAGTTACAGGAAGAGAGCTACATGATAGTTACAGGTTCCAGATATGCTCCAGCCTGCCTTCCAGCATTGTTAAGGTGCTTTAAAATTAGATAGTTTTGGTCTCCACCTCCTCCTCACCTGTTCTACCATTTTATTTGCATAAATGAACTTTTCTAATATTTTTTTGTTGGCAGCTTTATTTTTCTTAGTTTGAATTAATGTCCTCCACTTGAAGTATGAGCTTAATTTTTTTTTTTTAAATTTTGTAGATTTATGATACCAAATTGCATGAAGTGTTCATATTACCTCTTTCTTCTATCTTCTAACTGGTATTTTGAATACCTCTAACCTCTCCTCATAGCTCTTGCTTTAGAATTTTTGGAAGCCATTTAGTTGCATGTCTTTGTCCCTTTTCCAGTTTATTGATGTGCTCCGTGATATACGGGCACAATGCAACCACTGCACATTACACTCTTGCTCTCGCAAAGGTTATGAACAATTTCTTTAATATTTTGCCATCCATGAATTTAAAAGTAGTTCTGAAGTTGGAATAGTGTAACATAGGCTCCTCACACAATGTTCGTGGTTGTCCTCAGATGTTCTGTCCAGTACCACCCTTAGATCTCTCATTATTAGAATTTTTTTTTTTCACACTTTGTAGGTTGTGTGGGGCCTATTACAGTATCTCCTAATCCCACAACCACAACTAGGCGAGTTCATTCCATAATGTCATTTATTCACATTAAATTCCATTTGCTTGCAAAGTATACTTTGCAGGCATAGCTTTTGGTGGAAGGAGGAAAGACTCATGGTAACACAAGCACCATATTGTCTCCTGACCTCAAATGGGCAGCTAAGGAGCTTTGTCAAAATAAGAATATAGCTCTCAGGAGAAGTGATAAATTGTCAATATACATAATCCTCAAAGTATGCTCTCACAAGTAATGCCCGGCCTCGGGCCAGGCTTGGGGAGTAGAACTGCTCCCAGAACCCCATGAAGCAGGTATGAATGAGAAAATAAACCTCATTCTATCTGATCAAACTAAATTTGAAAGGTTCAGTAAGGATACAACTGCCAAACTGAAAACAAAAGTAAACAGTGGTTGAAACTGTGTTAATGTCAAAATGTCTGGACTTCACCCACAAAAACCTACTGGAGGGTACAAATCTGGACATGCATATGGAACTGACAAGATCCACACACCTGGAAACCCACTTTGACCAATCAGCCAGATACCTTCGGTCTCGTACAGACTGGCTAAGTAACTTGACTCCCTAACTCCATATGTGCCATATGATTTCACCCTCAAGTCTCTAAAGAAATTTTTTTTACTTACTGAGGGGCCACAGGCATCGGGAATGAGTTTCTCTTGATATTGAGTCTATTCACCAATATTGCTGCCGCTTTAGAAGCTATCCGCTCTTGTCCCATCTCCTATAAAAGTATTCCTTATTCCAACTTTTACCCGGTTATTCATTCCTCCATCCTTGCTCGTTGGCAGCGTTGTTGGTCTTCTGTAGTTGGTAACAAACTCTGTACTCTTAAGCGTAGTGTCCCTGTGGCCTTCCTCCTGCCACCGTAACAGGTGGTGGGAAACTGCTTTAGCAAGGTTGCGGATTGGCCATACTAGCTTAACTCACGGTCACTTAATGGAGCGCCGCCCTGCTCCTTATTGTCCAAATTACGTTGTCCCTCTTAGTCGTGCATATCCTTGTTGAGTGTCCTGACTTCCAGGACGAGCGTGTCTCTTGCTTTCCGACTGTCCCTCGCGGTCACTTGTCCCTCGATAGAATTCTTTGTGAACCTCCTGCCACCGCAACCGGCGGTGGGAAATGGCTCTAGCACAGTTGCGAATTGGCCATACTCAACTCATCACTTAATGGAGCACTGCCCTGCTCCTTATTGTCCAAATTGCATTGTCCCTCTTAGTCGTGCATATCCTTGTTGAGTGTCCTGACTTCCAGGACGAGTGTCTTGCTTACCGACCGTACCTCGCGGTCACTTGTCCCTCGATATGAATTCTTGGTGAATCGGATACTTTTGATATCGTTCTTATGCGTTTGTTCTCGTATTGGCATCCTTGGTGATATTTAGCGCCCTCTGATTGTTTTGCACATTTGATGGTGCTACATAGCCTTCCTGGTTTGGTGCCTTCTTTTGATAATTACTTGCTTTCTTCCTTAGCCCTGATGGGCGAATGTATAAAAAAGTAGGTGATGCTATGGGTTCTGCTTTTGGTGTCCTATTTGCTAATTTTTACATGGGGTTCCATTGAACAGAAAGCCATTGTTGAAATGGACCTAAAGCCGATTGTACTGTATACCATGGATATCTAGGCCACATTCTTGCAGGTTCCTGATATTGAGTACGTGTTGCGGCTTAAGGATGCATTTGAGCGATGTTCTGTGATAAGATTTATATAAGAGAGTGGAGGTAGGCTACCTTTCCTAGATGTAATAGTCTTGGAAATGAATGGTGGCATTCACATGGCAGTCTACACTAAGGAAACCAACATAGGAGTGTGCCTTAATGCTAAAATGTGAGTGCCCTGATAGGTACAAGTACTGGTGTCAATACCTATGTCAACTGCGCCTTCAGAAACACATCCAGTTGAAAGCAAGTCAATACTGGGTAGTATAACAGATGTCAGAGAGATCTGGAAGGTAAAAGGAAGGTGAACCGACGTGCCACCTCAGACGAAACATAACCGTTTATTACTGACCCCTACTATTAAAATATTCTACAGGAGCTACTTCTCGGAGTAGCACTTATAATAATAATAATATAATAATAATAATAATAATAATAATAATAATAATTTTTATTTAGGCAAAGGTACATACATAAAGAGATTTTACAAAGTTTGTTGGCTTTATAGATAGGAGCTAGTACATACAATGCCTAAAGCCACTATTACGCAAAGCGTTTCGGGCAGGAAAAAACACTACTGACTAAAGCTTCACTTCTCAGTGAAGATCCACTTCTCAGAACTACTACTACCAAACAAGAGGATTCTGAAAAACATTATTGATAGAAATGTGACCCCTACTAACACCAACTAAAAGATTGAATTTATTATATATTGTAAGAGCAAGAAGACTGTCAACTTGCTCATGGGAAAAACTCTCCTGACACGAAACAAAACCTCCTTGGAGATAAATGCCTTCACATGCCCACTTGGGGACTGTCGGCCCCAATGAACTCGATATACCCATATAGGCAAGACAACAACATCCCTTTCACGTCACCTAAGCATGTATGAACGGCAAGGCCTTATCAAGAAACCTCTCTTTATACATGACCAGATAATCCCCAGACATGTTTTAGTGGGCCAGCCATAGGCTTAGGGCCCTGCAGGAATTTTCCTGAGAAAACAAAAAAAATTTCAGACATTGGCAAGGCATTATACATCTAGCAAAGCAACTATCAATAACCACCTAACTCCAAGTTATACTACCATCTTAGAGAACATGAAAGAAACATACAATATATTGCCCCGGTCATCATGGAAATGAAAGGTTAAGCTGCATTTGGTCTATTGGCCCATAGGCAAGGTGCTTCTACACCTTGTTCCAGGCTGTACATCCGGCAGCATAAAAACTTGTAACTATTTAAACTCGGCCCTTGATAATGTTGATGAGGGTCAACGAAAAGCAACTCTTAGTGCCAGTCCTTAATAAAATTGTAAAATGAACTTTGGAGTTAATTTTTCAACTTCTCAAGTGTATAAAAACAAGGAAAATAGAGAAGATTCAATGTTAGAATCATTTATTTTGCCCCGTCATGTTTAATAATCTACAAGACTGCTACCAAAATATACTATATGTGTATTAGTTTAACAAATTAAATTGTGTGTGATTTTGTTGGATCCTATTGGCAGTTATCTTGTCCATTTTAATGGTAAATAATTTTAATTCTGCTGTACATTAATGTCCAATTTTATTTTTAATTTCTGTATCTAATGAAAAGCCCAGATAATGCAGTGCCAGACAATGCACTAGCATTCACTGTATAATTTATAAAAACACTAAGTTAACTTACAAGCTGTAATACAGTACCTGTATTTGCAGAATCATTAGTGTCGAGGAAGGATGAAGGTATCACAGCAAGGCTATTAAATGGCAAGAATGGAATGTGTGGAGAAACCTGCAACTGTGTGATGGAGGACCAGAATATAATTGTAAAAGGACCATGTGATGCTGACGAGTGTGAGGCTGATCCGAGTATTGAAGTGAAGTGTTGTCAGGATGTGGTGATATCCGAACAAAATTTCACAACTTGTGCATGCAGGGCTGAGAATGACTTGAGTTTCAGTGATTGTAGAATGGAGGACAACCATGATAAGCTGGATTGTGCAGCAAGTTCCATAGCAGCTTCAAGGTGTGTAGCTGATAGTAAGATGATTAAAGATTCTGAAGTGGAAAATAGTCTTAGTGTGCTGAATTCTATTGAAAGTTTCACAAAGGCTCCTTTCAAGTGTTACGTTTGTGCATGCTCGATTTTAAAGGAATGGAATTCGAATGCACATTTAAAGATTTGCATGGATGAGAAGCATTTAGAATGTGAAACGTGTGGGCAAAAGTTTTCAGGGTTCGGGGCCTTATGCAATCACTTTTCATGTGCCGCTGCTGTTTAAACTGAAGATAGATATAAGTGTTCCTTTTGTAATCATTCATTTTTATGAAATAGCAGTCAGAAAAATCACGAACACATTCGTTGCCAAACTGAAAAGGTGCCATGTTGTCACTGTGAACTAAACTTCTCAGATATGTTAGATGACATGCACGAAAGGTTCACTCACAGAATGAACTTTTTAAATGTTTTGTGTGGTGTAAAATACTCTACCTCAAGCTATTTACAAAGGCATGTGAGAGAAGTTTATAGATTACTCTCTTCAGTTTTCAATCTATGGCCATAAATATGCTACCATATTGGGCTTGGAGACATGACTCGCTATGGGAAGCCATAGTTATTAACGTGTTCATATTGCTTCTCGAGGTTCAGCAGAAGAACCCATCTTGATAGACATCTTTCTCTTCGATGAATAGTTAAGTAGTTAAGCAGCATCAGTGTTCAGATTGCAAGATGAAATTTTTTTATTTCAGTGATCTCCATAGGAACCAGGATGTTTTTAACTCAGACCATTCAAGTGTTCAGAATGTTGGCTCACATTAAATAGCCAGGGGTGCTTGGACAGAAATAAAAGAATATATGCTGGAGAGGGTTGGAGGAGTATGTTGTGTGGTGAAACTTTTATGATAAGAACATTTATAAAATAATTTGTGTACAGATTCATTCAGGAGACTCTGGATAATGCACGAGATAGTGTGCAAGATTTTTTTTACTTCGTATAATAGAATTAAGAAGTTACATGTACAAGCTCCAAGAAAATAAAATTTCTTAATAAAACCCACCCTCTTGAAGCTCTGTCAGTAGTTTCTCATAACCAGCAAAATTATTTACACCACGAGAACAAATCTGTGACTATGATTGCAGAAGACTCTGTGAATCATGTCTAGAATTGATGTATTCATAATTCTCAACAATACATATATCACAGGAATTCATACAGTATTTAAATTTGTATTGCCATCTGTAGCGAGAACACTAACTGTGGGAGAGAGTGATGAAAAAATTGTTGACCTTGTAGATGTTGACAGCTCGGATAATGCTTCAGAAAAATTAGAAAGTTCACTTTTGCAAATAGTAGGAGGTTGGAAAAAGTTAAATGAGAAGGTGATGGAGGCCAAAACTATCAGTTGTGTCAAAGTGCTATATGACTGCTAGGAAGATGGGACTCCACCTTATCTACCTTACCTTGTGATGATTTCGTGGCTCGGCGTCCCCCGCAGCCTGCGCCTCAGCCACAAACGTAACTCTCATCCTGTAACTACACTTCAGTAATTACACCTGGGTAATTACATTTTCAGAGCTCTTACCATGAACAGTAAATGGCTGCCCAACCATAATTTTTTACTCCTAATCTGGGTAGATACATTGGTATGCAACAAAAAGGCAAGCACCATGTGTCTGTGATTATCCCCATTTGTAAAGTTTGAATCATGTTCCATGGAAAAAAAGATGGCGCTTTGTGGTTTTCAATATCTTGGCCACCAAAGTTAGCAACATGTAAACTTAGGCAATATTGTACAATACAATGTACTGTGTGTAATGGTCAAATTGCTAGTGTGTAATTTAAAGACTTAGGCAATACCAACTCTGTCCCCAGACATCACTCGGTACCCCTACTCAAATCTCTGAATATGTTAGACATTAAGTCACTGCACATTCTCTCATGTGTATTATACATATATAAAACGCTAAACTGTAATCCCAATCCTGACCTCAAAAGCTTCATAGAAGGTTGTAACAGAACCCATGAGCACCACACCGGAAATAAATACAGTTTTGATATTCCTAGAGTACGACTTGATCAAACTAGAAATGCTCTACAAATCAAGGGACCCAGATTGTGGAATGACCTTCCCAACCATGTTAAAGACTGTACCTCTCTCAACCAGTTTAAGATTAAAACGAAGCTATACCTAATAAATTCCCTGTAACCTACCTTACCCCTCTAATGTCATCCAATGTCTGTTTTTTTTTTTTTTTTTAAAGAGCGCTGTTTGTCGACAGAATTGTATTTGTGCTGCTTTTTCAGCTATGTTTTCTTAACATGTTTTCATTTTACTCTTTATGCTCAATTAGTATTAAGCTTTAGTCATTTAAGTTTTTTATGCCCGAAACGCTTTGCGTAATAGTGGCTTTAGGCACTGTATGTACTAGCCCTAACTATAAATCCACCACTCTTTGTAAAATCTCTTTTATGTATGTACCTTACCTAAATAAACATTTTTATTTTTTTGACAGACACAAAGTACTGTACTTCACATCAATGAAGTAACTTGTCTTTTGAATATTGAATATGCAAAACAAATTTTGCTTAAAGAAAAAAAAATAATCCAGCTTGTTGCTGCCGTGAGGGTGGGTGGGGCTGGGTGGGTGGGCGGCTGCCGGAGTGTGATGCTTCTTGGGGGTCCTCTGTCCTTTTGTAGCCTTGTGCTCTTGCTGCTGTCCTCTCTAATTATGCTGGACAACTTTTCCTTCTGTTTTGTTTTTCTCCCTCTTCTCCTTTCTCATTGTCATTCCCCCGCCAACCTTTTGCCTGTTTTGATTCTTTTTTCGGCCTTCTTTTATTTTGACATCCGGGTGTTTGGGGAGGCATACTCTTGCACCCGTAGAACTGTAGTACCCAACGTCTTGAACAAGGGGACCCTTTTATTGTCAATCCTCCTTTTGTCACTGAACCCGATCTCGACGTACTGATGGTTCTTAAGGTGGCGTTTGTGGGGCGTATACTCACGATGCACCCCTTGGGGGCCCCCGGCATGATCGGCAATAGCTTCTTGTTGGGTGTCCTGCCTCTAATTGTGGCTCCATTGTGGGTGTGGGGGCACATTAGTGAATGAAAGTATTATCTCGTTTTTTATGTCGGATAATGTTTCTCTTGTACCTTCTCAGGCTCGTGGGGTGGGTGACCAAGCCCCCGAGTCGGACTGTGTTGGAAGACCAGGCCCTGTAGCCCCCGCTGCATTGGGCCCCGACCTTGCTCCTCCTTTGACCCTCCTGACTACTCCCCTCAGCTCCCCTCCCTCCTCTGACGGAGGGTCAATTTCCCAGCCCCCAGTGGTGACCACCTCTCCTCCTGGCACGGCTCCGTCTCTCATTGTGACTACTGCGCCTTTTACCCCCCCTCCCCCTCACTCTGGGGGTTCTCAACGCTTTCCCCGCCACGGCCGCACTCCCACGATTCCATCCCAAACTAATACTAATACAACACATTGTTTGGTCCCGCTACATGGGCTAAATACTTTGATCTCCACCATCTAGATTCTCCTTCTCCCGACGATTTCTCCCTCCAAAAACACCTTGTTGATTCAGTAGATGCCTCTGTTACTTTTAACTTCACCAGTTACGGTACGAGTGTCATTGCTGCTGCTCCTCAGGATGCAGCTACTTACTTAGCCATTTTGTCCTGCATTGGGTCTCCAAAAATGCTCGGTTAAATGCCAGTGTTGACACAGTTCTCCTCCCACATTGTGTTGCAACTGGTGTTAGGGACATCAAAGACTGCCATGAGGATACTAAACATCTTCGAAGCTCAAGGCCATTCTGTCCTCCAGGTGGACACGTTTACTCGACCCCTCGCTGTCGTCCCCATCAGCCCCTTCGAGTTGTAAAAATCACCTTTGATAGTAGGGCCCTTCCGCCCTCTTATTATTCTTGCCGGTGCCAAATGCTCCGTTCAGGAGTACTGTACATTCCCTCTCCTAGACTTTGCAATAAGTGTTAGAAGTTTGGGCACGGTGTCCTCAAGTGCACAAGTTCTGTGTATCTATGCCCCATGTGTGGGGACAATGATCATTCTAAGTCCGAGTACACTTCTCCCCAGGCTCGCTGCCTCAATTGCGGTGAGGCCCACCCTGCCTTCTCGCGCTCGTATATGCACTACAAACTCGAGGAAGCTGTCCTCAACTTGAAACACCGTGATCGTCTGACTTTTCCTGAAGCGAGACGCCAGGTTCGTCGTCTCGCCCCTTTCGCGGGTGTATCCTACACTCGCGTGTTGCGTTCTACCTCTCCTCATCCTTCCCACCTTCCTCAGTCTCACAACCGTTTCCAGGCCTTAGACCCGAACATGCCCTCCACCACCTCCCCTATTCCTTTGCGTCCTGTCCCGAAAGATCTCCCTCCTGGTTCTTCATCTGGAGTTTTTCCCCTTCCTACCCAGCCCATCATGTCTGTCTTCTTTCCCATCTCCCCCACTCTTTCTTCTCAACCCTCCTCCCCACATTCTTCCCAACCCTTCCCCCAGTCTTTTGACCCTCCACGCCGTCTGTCCAGGCCGATGTCCATCCTCCCAGCAATCTTAGTGTTGTCCGCTCCCGTTCCTCTTCTGCTGAGACCATTGAGTCTGTCGCCCAGTACGTTGTTACTGGAACGCCTGTCTCTTCGAGTCGGAAACATAAGCCTGGCTCCTCTCCTTTCCTTCCTCCCCTGCGGGTAAGAAAGTATCGCTTTCTTCCTCGCCCCCTCCCATTTCAGTGGTCGGGCCCCCTGTCCCAGATATGGAGGTTTCTGTTGCTCCCGATTCCCTCTCGGTTGCTGCCCTTGCCGAGGTGTACTCCCCGATTTCTGCCTCAACCCCCCCCCCCATCCCTCTCCAGCTGTTCTTGACTGCCCATCTCGGTTGTCTCCTCTTCCTCCGGACCCCGTCAGTCCGCCTCTGGTCTGTCCTCCCGCTCCCTTCCCTCCATCCTTACTAAGTTTACCCATTTCCCCTAACCCTGATTTTGCTGACCCTGATCCTGACCCTGAGATTCTTTAATAAACTGTGTTCTTCTTTACCTTTGTTTATTGTTCTCCGTTACTGTCCTTTCTCTTTGGTAATGTCTATTCTTCAGTGGAATATTCGTGGATTTTATGCCAACTTCCATGAACTCCAACTTCTAATTACACAGTTTTTACAACTTTGTGTTTGTCTCCTGGAACCAAGGCTTGGTGCTCGTCCTGGTCATTTTCATGGTTACTGTATTTCTTTCTTTCACCCCAGCCGGCCCATAACTCTACTGCTCTCCTAATTCGTTCTGATATTCCCTTCGTCCCCCTACTTCTTTCGTCACCTATTCATTGTTCTGCTGCCCGTGTTTTTGTGGGTAAATGGTGTACAGTCTGTTCCATTTATCTCCCCCCAAATGTCCCGCTTTCCCTTCCTGATCTTAAGCACCTCCTGGACTCCTTGCCAGAACCGGTGCTCCTTTTGGATGATTTCAACTGTCGGCATACCCTCTTGGGTGATGTTCTGACATACACCCGAGGCCGCCTTCTTGAACTGTTCGTCTTCACTTCTCTATCTCTTCTGAATTCTGGTGAGCCCATTCATGTGGACTCTCGGACTCGCACCCTTTCAAAAAATTCAAATTCAAATGTTTATTCAGGTAAAGTACATGCATACAAGGGGTGATACAAATATTGATGAATTTATAGATAAAGCTAGTACATACAATGCCTAAAGCCACTATTAAGCAAAGCGTTTCGGGCAGGAAAACACTAAAGACTAAAACTTAATACTAATTGAGATTAAAGTATAAAATGTGTTGAGAGAAAAAAAAAAGGGGGAACATGGCAGAATAATAGCAAAAAATACAATTTGCACGACAAACAGCATTGTTTAAAAAAATAGCAAACGTGGGTTGACATTATAGGGGTAAGGCAGGTTACAGGGTGTTAATTAGGTAGTGCTTAGTTTTTATCTTAAACTGGTTGAGAGAGGTACAGTCTTTAACATGATTGGGAAGGTCATTCCACATTCTGGGTCCCTTGTTTTGTAGAGCATATCTACTTTGATTAAGTCGTACTCTTGGAATA